CTAATAGGTATAAGAGGTGCCTGTGTTTGAGCTATTTGCTGTTGGTCCACTCTGTGCTTGTTGTGTCTGTGTCTCAGGGGGCCCTTCTGGGTCTAATCTTAGCTCTTGGTCTAATTGGAGCAGGCAGCTTCTGTGTCTCAGGGAGCTGTTCCTGGGTCAACCCAAGCTAGTTGATTCTGTGACTTACTGATTTGTTCTTATCAGGGCTCTTGGTTCAGTCAGAGCTGACAGAGTCTGTGTTTCAGGAACCTCTCTTGGTCCAATAAGAGGTGGCAGATTCTACTTCTCAGAAAGCCACTCTTGGTCTAAGGAGGGCTGGCAGATTCCTTGTTTGCTGAGGTTACTCTTGGTCCAAAGACAGCTCTTTGTCCAATGAGAGCTCTCTCTCTGGTCCGCTTGAGAGCTGGGGGTTTGTTTCCAAGTCTCAGGAAGTGGTGGGTGTCTGGGGCGGATGGTTATGGGGGCAGGGTGTGTAGATTGCAGGGTCCGCTGGGGGGTCTTGGAGAAGGGGATCCTTTCTGCAGGAGCCCTCCCAGCTGACTGGCCACTGGGGCCGATTTGGGTGGGTGTTCTCGGGAAACAGCTGGGGCCCAGGTGTGGGTCCTAGGGGCAGGCCTCCCTGGGTGTGAACAGAGTCACTCACCTCTGGCTCCTACACTACATTTCTATTTCCTACTTTCCTTATTTTTCATAGGTAAATTAAGAGAGAGACAGAAGGAGAGAAATCTTGATACAGAAGATTCTATGCTGCAGCCTTATATTCGGACTCCTTCCATTCCCTTTTTCCTATTTTTTCCTGAGGATAAAACCCCCGCCTCATTTAATTTTTTTTTCACTACAAAACTGGATCAGACCAACTGCTTACTGGCAGCCCCTAAACTTCTACTTTCCCAAGTGCTCTGGAGTAGGAGCAGCAGGGAATATTAGACAGAAGGATAGAGGGGACAGAAAATATTTTTATATTTTTTTTCTTTATGTCTTAGTTTCTGTTCACTGGTACCATCTGTGGGGGTCATACACTCCACCTTTCCCCAGAGTACTCTTGAGTAGAAGCAGCAGGAATTATTAGATAGAAGGATAGAGGGGAGAGAAAAAGATAGAAAATACAGGATAGACTTGAGTGGGCCTGGATCCTAATCCATCACGCCCTGACTGTCTGTGTCAAAGGAATACGAAGGGATGGAGCAAAAGACCGACCTCCAGCATGGCCAGGGGCAGACCATCTCAGACACCTGGTACTCAGTTCCGTGATCCAATCATCCTCTTTATGCAGACCTGCTGGGTAAAGCCCTAGGAAATCTGCATGGGCTCCAACAATGGAGAACTAAGCATGAAACTGTAGGGGCAGACAAAACTGGACTCAGATCACAAAATAGTGCATACCATCTTACATATGCATCCTCTCTTAATGTTATTTTATTCAGTAGCTATTGCTCAACCACTAACCAACTTGAAATTTAGTAGGTTAATTGAAATATTTATTTAATTCTTGCTTGGTG